GGAGGTTCAAACTCGGTTGGCAGCTCTGTCAGACCTGGGAGAAGTTGGTGCCTTGAATTACAGGTCCTCTCCTGCCTGAAAAGAAACAGGGAAGTTTTGAGGGTGTATAAGCCAAATGCAGTGTTGCTTGGGAGGGGGGAGAGGGGGCTGCGTGGGGATCAGTCTGCTGGCTACTGCTTTCATGCTCCACTTCTCTGCTGTGCTGGGAGGAGGTGACAAGTGGAGCTCCTCAGGGCTCTGTCCTGCGTCTGGTACTCATTAATATCTTTATGAATGGCTGGGAGGATGGGATTGCGTGCATACTTGGCAAGATATGCAGATGACACCAAGCTGTGGATGGGGGAGCCAATACTTTTTTGGATTCCAAATGACTGTAATATAGTGGAAATTCATCAGATTGAAATCCAATAAGGGGAAGTGCTGAGTCCAGCACTTAGGATGGGGAGACAATCTCATGCAGTCTGGGGAATGTGCTGTACGCTGGGCTGCAGCACAGCAGAAGAGGACCACAAACTGAGTAACTGTACTTCGCACACCCTCATCTTTGTGGCTCTGGTAGTGATGGATGGAGAAGAACCCGACCTTACAAATAATCTGTATATTATACAGATGCATAATAATATCTACTATATATTATAATGCATTGAATTATGCCAGGCCTTGACGTATATAGAAACTCGTTCTAACTCGTCCAGTCTTGAAAGACTGCTGGTAGCTCTCGACTTCCTGCTGCAATTAATTCCACAGGATAATGAGGTCGCATAAGGTGCTACATTAACTACTTATCAGTGTTACTTTTCTTTTTTTCATATGCCTGGTAGTCTCCTGCTTTGGGAAAGGGGGGGAAAACAAAGGCAAGTCCACAGGGCTCTATCCAGGAGGAGAAAATGGGGTGCATTACTTTGAGGAGCAGTCCGTAGCTTCATTTGGGAACCAAAGAAAAACTATACAGAAGGGTGTTAGTGTCACAAAATGAGGCTCTTCCTTGGCTTGAATGGAGATGACTGCAGTGGCCTCTTCTCAAGCTAGCAGGAGCTGCCATGTGCACGCTGCTGCTTGAGCCGAGCAGCTGGCCTGTGTTGCACTCGAGCGTGGAAACCCGTGCTCCGCTCGCTCTGAGGGGGTGGTGCTTTTGACACGTTCGGGTGCTTGTGCATGTGAACAAGTTACAGACAGCACTTGAGTGAGTTCTGCAGTGAAAATGCATCCCAGAGAGCAATGATGATGTTTAGAGATGGAGCTTGTCTAGTCCAGGGCAGTACCAATATTACCAGATGGGCATTATCCAGAGCACTTCTCTAAAAGGCTGAGGGCGAGTTGAGTGCAGCCTGGCTCCTCTCGGGGCTCTTGGACACGTGATGAGTTGTGATGAAAAATTGCCATTTCTCCAGCATGAAGGCATTGCCATATATATGTGCACGATGTTTTTTCATGTCAAATTTTCTTTGAGCATGGTAACTTAAACCACTTCTGATGCATTTTAGTTGCAAATTGTCCCTTTGTCGATGGAAAAAAAAAATCCATCAGGTGTACATGACAAGCAAGGGAACAGGTGTACCTGGTGAAAAGGACTTCACAGCAGGACTCCTCAGAGTCATTTATATTGCATGGCCAAAGAGAAGCCTTTCCAGTTGCATAGGAAGCAATTTGCACCTCTCCTGAATTAACCGGCCATCGCAGCACTTCTCAGATCAAAGGTGAAGCAGGAAAGTCATGAAGCGCTCCTTGTCCTCCCAGGCAAAACCAATAAAGGAAGCAGAAACTAAAACATTACGGGCCTCTGATGGTATCTGCTCTGTCCTAGATGTTGGATGGAGAAGGAACCATTGTGTCCTCGCCTGTCTTCTGCCTAAAATTAGTTCAACGCAGTAATTCCTGCACCAAGCTCAGACCTTTCTGATTGATTTATAGCCTGTTGTAACAAGGCAGCCTAGCCTTGCACATCTGCTTGGCTAACTGATCCCAAGCCTAGAAGAACAAAACAGTCCTCTTTCTGTTTCTCCCAACGTGCTGGCAAAGTTCAATTCCTGACTCAATCTAAAAATCCCATTCAAACAAGCCCGAGCAAAGCCCTTGAGAATATGCCATAGAGTGGTCAGTGCAAGATTGTTCTGAGGGAGGAAGGGAAAGCAGGAAAAAGGCTTCTCGGTTTATCCTTCCTGGCTTCTATGATACGGTGTGCTTGGTAATGAGGTATGAAGGACTTGGCTTGACACGAAGAAAAAGCAAGCCAAGGTGAGCTACAGTACCGCACCTCACACGCGCGTCATTTTTAGAGTGTGGGATTTCCGGATGCGCTGATGTGGCTTTGCAAATCCAGGGGATTCATGGTTTCAAGCGACTCTGGGCCTGGTTGCGGGGGAGGAATAATAAGCTATTATCCAGCGTTTGCATTAGCCTTTGGCATGAGTCTAGAGCAAGACTCCAACTTTGGCCTCTCGATCCCAAGCAAAATGCCTTGCTGTGTGGTGGTTTTTGTTTTGTTTTGTTGGGGGGGTGTGGGCAGAAGGGACAGGGTGAAAAGTGAGAACCAAGTTCTTGAGGTTTGGGTTTTTTGTGGGGGGTTTCTAGCTGGAAGGGAGTCCTGACTGCCTCGGGTTTCCTGCTTCTATGGTTAACTAGTAGCTTAAGGCTGGTGAAGGAAAAAGTTTGTGGCATCAATAAGGCAGAGGTTTGCTCCCTGCAAAGGCAGCAATGGAGAGGAAAGGAGACGCACGTCGTCCCTTCCAACCCTAACTTTCTACGACTGCAGGGCGCGGTGACGGCTTGAGAGGTAGATATTGTTGGTTGTAGCCATGTTGGTCTAAGGACATGGGTAGACAATGTTCTTTGGGTAGAGGTGATCATCTTGTATTAGACCAACTGATAAGGGGAGGGGGATGTTCTTTGCAAGCTGTCAGGCACAAATGCCCTTCTTCAGGCAGTCTCTCTATGCTTGAAGAAGGGCGTTTGTGCCCTAAAGCTTGCCAAGGATATTCTTGCTGCTTTTTTTTTGCACATGCTTTTGTTTTCTGCTTTCCCCTCATGTGCCAATTATCTGCATGCAGTTTGCTATCAACTCCCTGGGCTAGCGGTGATGGCTTCTGAATGCTAAGGACCTTCTGATAATAACTCTCGGATGCTTCTGCAAGCAGACCTCTGCCCCATTAGGGGGATTTGATCGGGAACTAGATTAATTGACACTGCCTATGCTGCAGTCAAATGTGATCTGCAGCTCCCAGTGGCCTACCTGGCCCCACTTCAGTTCAGCAGGGCAGATTTTTTTGCAGTCTAAACGGTTTTCATGGTGTTGCAGATCTGCTGCTGGTGTATCTGTGCTAATCCCAATGGCAGACTTTGGCTGCAGTGTAGACCCACCCATTGCTATTTTCTAGATGCATTGGAAGCGCTTGCTGCTAATTGATGTGGATGCACCTGGGAGCAGCCACCTCTGCTGGCAATGTGACCGACGGCTCGGCCCGAGGTGAACCCGCTTTGAAGGGAGTGACTTGGATCTCGGGCAGCTGAAGGAAATAGTTTGCGTGATCTAATGGGTGCGAACGTGCTCCGGTTTCACATTGCAAATGGAAGTGAGGGTTCCCTAGCAACTCGGTGGCACAAGTCAGCACTGAAACGAGCTCCTCGGTGTCTATTGTGGTTTCTAAAAGCTGCGGTGTTTGAAGGCACTGCTTTCAGAAACACTGGGAAGGTGTGGAGGGCTGGGGGAAGTCCAGGAAGAATGGAGGAGAGAAAATCCATGAGATCAGGCTTGGTCCATCCGTGATGCACGTGAGCTATCGTACGCCCCAGAGCTGAGGCTCTCCTAGGTAGGCAAAGGCATATCTGAGCGTGAGCTGTCAACACGTCCCTCTTTGCCTGCCTGGCGTCTGTTGCTGTCTACCTAGCAACCATATCTCCCTGCAATCTGCCCACGACTCGGAGGACCTGCCTTGGTTACCAAATACAACCCATCTGCCTTCCTCAGCGGCTCCAAGAACCTCTCGGCTTGCCAAGGCTCCAGATTGCTCTGTGTTTTTTAGCTGGCTTGCAGAGAGCTGAGCTTGGCACCAGCCCCTCCAGTCGAGGATCGCATCTCTCCAGTACGAGAACAACTTGGGTCTGGGTCTGCTGACTTCCCAAGGGCAGAGCTTGAAATCCGAGCTAAGGCAGTGGAGGGCCCCAGAGCCTAAAGACGCAGGTAACGACTTCTATTTCCCTTTGCGCTGCAGTCCTTTGCTGCTGCTGGGTGGACGTGCCCTCCGGAAACCCCCGACTTGTCCAGGGTCTGTCCGCTCTTGCCGACGGTAGGCTTGGCTTCGTGGCTCCTTCTGGCGCTCTGAAGACAAGGCGTGATTCTGTCTCGAGAGCCGTTGGGATTGCCGTACGCTCGTCTAAAGACTGGAAATGCATCCTCGTGCATTTTGGCAGGGAAGCTTCTGCCTATTGGCTGAGGGGGGCTGCAAGATGTTGGTATGGAGACCTGCCCCCTCCAGCATAGAGCAGGGAGGACCTCTCGGCGGGGCTGCCTCCTGACTTGTTGCCCTGCCTCAATGCACACCTGGGCTCCTCGCCTCCTGCCTGTCGCCCCGTCTCCCAGGTGGGGATGGGCCTGGCCTTGCAGCTGCTGATGGCCACCGGGTCTGGACCAGGAGGTGGTTGTGCAAGGGCCACCGTGCAAGCAGGGAGCCACTGCATGTAACGCAGGGGATTCCTGCCTGGTGCTTCCTCCCTCAGGGCTGGGGATTGGCACCAGAGCAGGAGGAGCTCAGGGGGTCCCTGTGGGGAATGGGGGCCAAGGTGATTGTGAAAGCCCAAACCTGAACACTACCTTCAGGGCAGACAGCTGGCAGGGACATAGAAAATGAGGGTTGGGAGGGACCTCAGGAGGTCGCATCTAGTCCAACCCCCTGCTCCAAGCAGGACCAGCCCCAACTACATCATCCCAGCCAGGGCTTTTGTCTAAAAACCTCCAAGGATGGAGAGTCCACAACTTCTTCTCTGGGTAACCTGTTCCAGCACTCCTAATATCCAACCTCACCTTCCCTTGCTGCAGCCTGAGCCCATTGCTCCTTGCCCCGTCATCTGCCCCCACTGAGACCAGCCCAGCTCCATCCTCTTTGCAGGCCCCTGGCAGGGAGGTGAAGGCTGCTATTCAATCCCCTCTTCTGAGAAACACAGTGGTGAGTCCCTCTCCTGGGTTACCTCGCTAAACCACTTCTGATCCATGCATTTCCCGTTCTCATGGAGGAGGGGAGTACTAAGGGCCTGTTTTAGCCTCCCGAGATGCAGTTAGCCTGAAGCCCGGGTAGATTTGCACCTTTTTATAGACTAGCCAAAGTAGATTCTGTGTAGCACAAGCTTTTGTGGGCTGAAGCTCCCTTTATCAGGTACTGTGAAAGGGCATGCGCAAAGCAGCGTATACGGCGAGCAAAACTGGAATACAAAAGACAAGGGGGAGCAGTGGGGTGGAGAGGAGCATCTCCCTGCTTTACCTGTGGCAGGTTCAGGGGTCATGTCAGAGTTCACGGTAGTTTTACAAAGAGATTAGGTGATGAATTATACAGGATGGTTTGCACAGGGCTGATCCGGCCTCGGGCAGGGGTTGGACTAGATGTGCCCTCTGCAGCTTCCTTACAGCCCCGCTTCTCCATGACGGAGCCGGCGTTAAATATTCTGAAGCTGCAAGGCCCACGACAAGACAACCAGTGCCCCAGCTCAGCCATCGGTCCTTAAGCCTGCAAAATGCAAATCTCTGCTCCTGCTGCCTGGAGAGATCTCTCTCTGGTCAAGGTAGAGTCGTGCCTAGGGAGGTGAATGAGCAGGGCAATACCTGGCAGTTGCAGGATATGGTCCAGTGAAAGCCAGGTAAATCCAGCATGTCATATTCCAGCTGGCAAACATGGGCTTGTCCCAACAGGTTTGCAAACAGCTTTTAGGACTAGCAAGTATTGTCTGCGGCGTGTTGGCCGTCATCACCCTGCTGTTGAGTAATCTGTGCGTGCTGGGGAAACATCAGACCACAAGAATGAAGTGGTATGATACTCCTGCCATGCACATCTTTGCCCCTTGCTGGTTTCTTCAGTTGGCACAATAGCAGACTTCCCAGTTGGCTCCTTGGTCTTTCTGATGTTGTGACATCCCAGTAATGTAGCCTCTCATCTGTGATCTAAGCAGCTTCTTAGCTCCTGCTTTATAGCAAGGGTCACCCAACAAAAGGCCGTGATTAACCATTTCCCACCCCCACCAGGAACCCAAGAATCGCACTGCATTGGCATAAAACAATGCATTACAAACATCCCAGTTTGGGATAGTGGCTCAAGCTGTGGATGACGGATCTCAGCATGCGCTGCATCCTGCTCTGTCTCTGCATTTGCTGAGATGTCTGCATATTTTAGGACATCCTGCCTTTCCAGAAACCGATTTGTTTGTCACAAGCTATTGTCCAGCACCTCCACTGCCGCCTCGGTCAGCTCAGGCTCCATCCTTATTTTCAACTCTCCACAGACTTATTGTCCTTCCTGCATGAGTTGTGCTTCTGTCGGTCTTTTCTTTCTCTCTTATCATACAGGCTCCCCTGCCCTACAATAAAATCTCAACATCACTGGTACAAATATCTTCAGTCTTTCAGGAAGCACTATTTTAAAGGTAGCCCCCCAGCCCAGGAGGGCATGGAAGGATTCATTCCAGACTAGCCACTTTGACTCTAATCTTGCGTACCAAATACCCGCAATTCATGGACCAGAAATCATATGACTTGTGGAAAAACAACACTGATGATCCTAAGCTCCATGGATGCTTTGCCAGTAGAGTTGATGCATTGTTAAATGTGTAGTTTCTCTGCATAACTTGTTTGCCTCTATCGGCACAGCTGTATATTAGTGTATTGTCGTGTTAGAAATGGATACAGCCCATGTAAATCCTGAATGGGAATAGTTACGTATAGAATTAATGTGAACAAGCCCCAGTGAGCGTCACAACTAGGTCCGAATGATGGGACTTGATCTGTCTAGATGAGCATGTCGCCTCCTCTTCAGCGTATCCCTGGTTGCAGACAGGGTCACAGTTCACAGTCCCTCTCTCGGGTCACCTCTGGTCTCTCTCGTGGGGGCACTGGAAAGAAGTGCATGTGTGAACTTATCAGTGATCTCAGTCTGGTAGATAGCGTGCCATTCTGGTGCACCCATTTACAACATGCATTGTCAATTTTGACACCTTGCCAGTAGTTTTGGTAGGCAGTGGGGCGGGGGTCATTGTGTCCAGATGGATGATGTTCAAAGATGTGCCACTGATTTTGGGCCCCCTTGGAAGTGGGCATGTGGCACTAGGGCATTTATGGAGATGCGGACTCACAACGCAGAAAGGCTTTTTTCATCAGAATAAACCAGGCTGGAGCTTACCGCAAGTCTCTCTGGTAAACTACTCTGTATCGTGTCCCTCCAAAAATGGGGGCTACCAAGGGCCCAGCAAACCTTTCCTCAGCAATCTGTGATTTTGTTTGTTTGTCTTTCATAATCGCAGGCAAATTCAGAGCCGAGTGCCTTCAGGATGAAGCCCAGCTCTTCAGTCCAGCTGTTGGGAGCTTTTTTTTACTAACAAGTTCTCTTACCTTGGCAAAGATTTTTCCCTCCCACCCCCTTGAAATCTAAACCAATGGCCATAATCCCATGTCTTGCAGACCACCTACAGAAGTGATAATGCAGAGGCACCACAAACAAGGAGAGGTTTCCATTATCTCGCCAACAAACACTCTTCCCTTGCACTCAGTTATCCATGCCTTCCCTCCCCCCATCATCGCACCAGCCTAGCCCTTCCCTTCCTCTGCCCCTCTAGAGTCACTGTGCTGTTTCATTTACAAGATGAGGCTACTTGGCTTTCACAAGATCAAGAGGGTTTAGAGTTCCTCCCTTGCCTGACTCCACGCAAGTGCTGCAAAAATGTCCAACTCCAAGTGCTCGGGATCAGTGAAGTGTGCATTGTCTGCCCACACTTGGTGCTGTCCATCACTGAGTGACTTCCGGCAATTGGTGCTGCTCATCGCTCAGTGCAATGCTTTGGAAATGCTGGAAATTGTGTTTGTGTTACTAGTATTACAGAGATGTTGCTCCTCCTACAGTAAGAGCACCTTTACTGTTCAGCATGCTTCCTGAGCCATGAAATACTTGTTGTCCAGCAGGAAATGTGCTGGGATCTTGCCACTTAAACTGTCTGCATCTCTCTTTCTCATTCTCAATATTTTCCCTCTTTTTACAGTTCAAGACCCAGAACCTGCTCTGGAGAGATGACTGCTGCTTAAAATCATCACTGATATCATGTACCATTATGGCTTTGTGCCCTCGGAGTGTTACCCGAGCAGGATCCAGCCCTATCCCTATGCCTACCTGCCCCCTGGCCCTGGAAGGTTAGCTGACGTGCCAAGCTCAACGCCATTCCCTCCCATCCAGCTGCCCAGCTTCTACAGCCAGCCCTTCACCCTCGTGGTGGGCCGGAATGGCTACCCTGATGGTGCAGGAAACCAAGTCGAGTATCATCACATCTACAGTCCCAACCCTTACTTCCACCCTTACCCCTTCTGGTCTATCCCCCAAGTGACTGCTCCTTGGCCTTTGCACAACCCTTATCCGACCTACAATCCACACCAGGGCCCAGAGCAGGGGCAGGATGGCTGGCCAGAGGGTTTCACCATGAGAGCAGAACTTCAGTGGGGAAAACTAGGGAAGGTTTTTGGACCAAAGAGAGTGCTCCCAGAGTTTGTGAAGGATGACCTCCGAAGGGTTTATGGCACCTACCCGAAGACCGATGTTACCATAACCTACCGGAATGGGGAATTCCTGGTGAAAGGAGACCCCAAAGTGGGAGAACAGGAATACATGGTGGAAAAGAGAGTCATCCAGCGGGCTCCAACCCCCTCAGCTAGTGAGGTTGATGACAGCAGTGAAGACCAGGACCGGAACAGAAAGAAGAAAAAGAAATCTAAGCCATGATGCCAGACTGCTGCTCCCACGTCCTTGTGGGCCAGAGAGCCATTGACTGATGACTTTGGATTAGAGAGTCCTTGGATATTAGCACGAGCAGGAAACACCCATCACTTTTTTTTTTTTTAATTGCTTCTGACAAACAAATGTCCCTGCCTTCTACAAACATGCGATGACGCTCATAACCTCACTGAGTGACACGGTGCATGTTCACCCTTGTCTTCCTTCCTTCGAAAATGAGCTCACTCCACTAGCATCTAAGGGATCAGGCAGAAGATCCTCCAGCTGGGAATAAGAATTCGGGCTCTTCCATTTGCATGACCAAACGTAGTCACAAACTGCTTTCTAGACACGGGATTTGGCAAGTCTCTCTCGCCAAAGCCACTGAAATGGCCTCCTTGCGGCAGTCCTCTGCAAGGATGAATTGACCAAGACAAGTGTTCCTCCATCTCCAGACTAGTGCAGGTTGGCAGAGGACAGTGGTGAATGTATCTTTGTTTTAAACACTGCACCCGGTCGTGTTTCTGCTCACAGTCATTACTATTTTATTAGTTGTAGGTGGCTCCGACACCATGAACTCTTCATTACTGCCTGGAAATAACTGGCCTCTACTTGTTTTTGCACGTGGTGAGACCTGCCCAGGCATCCCCATTCTGGGAATAAAAACGTACCGCTCCTTCCACCACCACCACAAAGAGCCGGACTTGGTACCAAGTGACCGCAGCCATCGGCGAGTGCTCGTTGACACAGCCGGGGCTGGAGTTCACAAGCTCTACTAACGTACTTCAGCTGTCACTACTGTTGTATGCATGTAGCATGTACTCTCTATCCTCTGGTTTGAAAAGGAGATGGCTGGGCTGCAGGGTGCACTGTGATGCAGAGGGCCTGTGGGCCATACTAGACCTGTCTGAAAAGATCTGCAGCTTTTTAGATAATAAAAAATGCAAATAGACCTCTTTTTTTTTTTTTTTTTTTT